AGAATGAAGCAAACAAAACGTAAGCCCGCTAAAGCGCCCGGAGGCCCCGGGGAGGTCAGTGTCACGGCCCTGTCGTAACCAGAGAGGGGAAATGTCCCTTGGCAGAGCAGAGGCAGAGGGGAGTTCCCGTTCACCGAGCGCTGCCCGGCTCAGCTGGCGATGCACAGCCCGAGTCCCATTCCAGAGACAGATCCCCAGCTACAAAACACTTGTGTCTGGGAGTGCAGAGCTGTCCCACATGGGAGAAGATTTTTCTCCATGGCTTTAGATCTACTGATGTCTGCAGAAGTGTCATGCCTGGAATGGAACGTCAGAGAAGATGACGTTCGAAGAAAAGGAAAGAAAAAAATTAAGAAGACATTCCATATCAGCTAAAAGAGAAGCAACCTACACCAGTCTAACCACCCATGACACTTCAGCCGTTATCAGAAACAGTAAAACCACAAGACCTCACTCTGCCTGCAAACCATGCCAGATACTCTCAAAAGTGCTTGTGAACTTTCCTCTGACAGACAGTAGAAAATGGGTTTATTTTTCCCATCAGCCAAATTCTCAAACAGCAGCACAGACACAGAAGCTGACCCAACATTTTAAGAGGTTTTGTCCAGTGTTTGGTTGCTGAAGCTATCACAGAAATTATATTACCCTTTCTAATGGAAGGGGGAATGTCCACAAAACAATTGGACTGTTTGCATCCTAAAATCCCTGTCCTGGTCTGTTCCTGCATCTCAGAGCTGCCCAGGCAGCTGGAGCACAGCCTGCCTGTCCTGACTTCAGGGACAACGTGATGTTTCATTGCTGGCACCAGCATGCTGCACAGCCAAAAGGCACTGGTGGTGGTGGTGGAGCGTCCTGGTGATCTGCTTGTGAGCTGCTACCCCCTGCAGAGGGGAAGGCCCCAGCTAGGGAGTGAAGGCAGTTCATATTTTCTCCCTGAGCCTTCCAGCTGCTTCCCTGTTCTCTCCTCACCACCCCTAAATGGAGTTTCAGCAGTCAATTCACATTCACACCTTACCCCAGAAAGGCCACACCAGACTCAGCCATGTTCACCCCTCCTTGAGATACCCTTTATTGCTAAAGGTGCAACTATTAGCCCAAAACTGAATTGCCTTTGCCATAAAATAAGATGTTTCCTTTGCAAAGGGAACAACTACAGCAAACAGAAGTCACTTAGAGCAGTGTGGCTGCAGGGCTCAAAAAAAGTCATTGATCAAGATTTTTCAGAACCACCCGTGGGGACACCTTCCACCCCTCAACTGTATTCTGCTCCTGTAAAGCAAATGGACAGTTTTAGAAAGGCTGTATCAATGGGATGGGCTCACCAACAGCCTCCTTCAATTGAGAGCCAAGACATCTTCTCTGATGTTTCTTGACTTGATTCATTTCCTTTGTAAGCCAAAGTCAGCCATAAGGCTGGGCCCCTCATCAGAAGGCAGAGTCCCAAGCCATGAGCAGCCTGCTAGGGGACAACTGTTTTGCTTTGATCTTTTTCACTTCTCATACCTCAGTGTACATTGTAAGTACTCAGTCAGTCACATCCTTGTACTCCTCACATTTTTTAGCCACTTTTCTGCCTGCTGCAGTGCCCACGCCAAAGAAAGGAGAACTTTGAAGAGATCCTGAGGGTTTTGCTATGGCACGTTGGCATCCTGACCAATATTTCAATGTCCCAGTCCATCATGCTCTTTTTCCATTCTGTTCTTTGATTTATCTTGATAAATCGAACAAAAATCTTCCAGAACATCCCATTCATCTCCTTACCCTGATTCCAGAGAAAAGCCAAGTCACCAAAAGCTATGAAGAAATGGTTCCTTTCTCAGTCGCTTGAGAATCACATCACCAGGAGCTCTCACAACCACCCAAGCAAAGCTGCCAGCCAGCACCCTCCACCAACATTTTCATTGCCAGGAATCAAAAGCAAAGCACCACCCACTGCTGCCACCAGTGCCAAAGGGGAAAGACCCCACAGATTTCAGTGGGCAACCAGGTGGAGAGCAGAAGAGAGCAGCTGTCTTCCTGTGCTCTGTGTAAGCTCCTTTGCCTTGTTACCTTCTCATCTGAGAGCTCCGTGCTCCAGGGTGACTCCAGGCTTGTGGCAGATAGATGTAAGAAGTCCTTTATACACAGAACAAAGGATTTAAAGAGCTTAAAACAAGTAGCTACAGGCTACCATCTATTCAGAAACATTCCCAGGTTTCCAAGTGCCCTTTCACCCACCATGGCACTCGCCTCTGCTGCACCCACCAGATACACAGTGAGATACACAAGCTCTGGTTACAGCTCTGGATGCCTATGTGAAGCCAACTGCAAGGCTATGCCACCAAGGCACAAGGTGGAAATGGCTGGGTAAAGGGGTTTGAAAATGCCAAAGAATGAAAACATTCCAAGATTCATCCTTTCTAAGAGCAAGGAATGCAGAAATGACATAAAATGATACCAGCTCCGACCTACTGCTCTGTTTTTGCAGGATCCAGCTGAAGAGAACAAAACCCAGAGAATCTGTTTCCTACCCCCTGCATAAGCTAGAAGACTCTTCCACAATCATACTCGGGAAAGCAAATTGCATTGGTCTATAAAATTAACATAGGCTGTATTAAGCCCTTTCCTTGTGTACACAGAAATGCTCATCGCTGTGTTACCTTCACCATCCTTGGTCTTTGGCTTTCTCTAAGAAGCGAAACACTTCTTTGGAGAGAGCCATGCCAGAAAAGCATGGTTCCAAAAGCACCTCAGGAAGAAGTCAGCGTCCAGAAGAAGGAAGGAAATCTTACCGTTTTGTCTGGGGACAAGTCTGATGGCCACATGTCCTGTTATTGTCTGGTTGTGGTTTATTCCTGCACATATAGTCTGGATAAATTTCATTGTCTATGGTACAAAACACCAAGCGGGTTTGGAAACCTAAAGGAGAAGCAAGAGAATATCCTGATCAACACAAGTCACCCAGGACCAGGTTTGCATGGGTGTAGGCAAGACAAGTTTCTAAAGCAGTGCAGAATCCACACCCACCCCAGCCAACCTGGAGAAGAGTCCTTTGGTCTGTCACTACACATATGAACCACCCCACAGTACAGGAGCCCACTGGAAGGGCAAGAGAGACAGAATAGTTCTTTGTAGCTGAGGAGCATCTTCCTGTTGTTTTATGGATTGAGAGTCACAAGGAAGTGCCATAGCCATGTGGTTCATCAAGGAACCCTACGTGATGTGTGCAGCCTCCCGTTTGAAGGTCAGTCTTGTGAAGATGGGATATGGGAGAAAAACTTGCAACTCTTCATACTTTTTACACGATAAAAGTGCCCAGGCAAAGATAATATCAGCACCTACAAGCACAACATGGCAAAAGCTATCAAAACGTCCATCAGCACAGAAAACTAGAAGAGGCTGACAGGAGCTCTAGATCAGCTAGTCAGCTGAAGCAGGGTTTTTTGTTTGTTTGATTGGGTTTTTTGTTTGTTTGGTTGTTTTTTTTTTTTTGGTTGGTTGGGTATTTTTTTAGCTTAAAATCCGTAACTTTCCTTGTGGAAGAATCTGTAAACTGAATATGATGTGATACCCCAGGAGACCTGACAGTCCCCCTGTAGAAAAACAATCTTTCAGGCTGTGGTAGAGGGGAATGATGTGATTCAGTTATGTAGGCCAGGTCAGTTTGGAGAATACCTCTCAAAGTGGTTGAAAAGGCCTGAAAAGGACATAAAGAACTGAAGAAAAAAACAAACAAACAAACAAAGAACAAGGCAAAGTCTATCCATGAAGATTCCTGACAGATCCTACTAACAAGCGTGAGGACTAGGGCATGGAAAATAAGAGAGGACAAGGCATGGGAGACAGTCCTGTTGTGGCTCCAGGCGTGACCGAAGCTCAGCTGCCCGCTGCAGGTACGTGTGCTGCCTTCCAGGAGCAGCCTGCTGGGACGCAGCTGCAGAGGGCAGCACACGGGCACACTGTCTGCGGGGTGTGGACACAAACCCTCACCAGCCTCAGAGAGCAGGTCCTGGCCCCTCACCTCCTCCACACTCGGCGCTGCACTCGCTCCAGGACCCGTAGCTCCAGCTGTAACCCGGGGGCTGTCCTTGCACGGGCAGGTAGTACTCGTACTGCACCCCGGGGTTGGGCTCCTGGCTGATGAGCTGCGGGAGCACGGGAGAGAGTCAGAGGAAGAGCAGCAGCAGCACTTCTCCCCTTCACAGCATTTCCCCACCACAGCTGAGGCTTTGAGCTGACCTGCACCCCTCCCGTACTCTTTACGCTGTATTTCCTCCCTGCCTTCTATGACTTCCCAGAGAGCATTATTTTTCAGAGGAGGGTGCATTCATCCCTCTCATTGAATCATCAGATCACTTTGGTTAGAAAAGACCTCTAAGATCGAGTCCAACCATTAACCCTACTCTACCAAATCCACCTCTAAGCCATATATCCTCAAGCACCACATCTACGAGGCTTTTAAACACATCCAGGGATGGTGACCCAACCACCTCCCTGGGCAGCTTGTTCCAATGCCTGGTAACCCTTTCAGTGAAAAAGTTCTTCCTAGTGTCAGTGTAAACCTGCCCTGGAGCAGCTTGAGGCCATTCCCTCTTGGTCTATCACTAGTTGCTTGTGAGAAGAGAACAGTGCCTGCCTCTCTATAACATCTTTTCAGGAAGCTGTAGAGACTGTTAAGGTCCCCCCCTCAGCCTCCTTTTCTTCAGTCTAAATAGCCCCAGTTCCCTCAGCTGCTCCTCATAAGACTTGTGCTCTAGGCCCTTCACCAGCTTCATTGCTCTTCTCTGGACCTGCTCCAGCACCTCGATGTCTTTCTTGTGTTGAGGTGCTCAGCATCAGGAGATCCCCAGCTGCTCCAGTAACAGTAGGCACCCTTCCTGGCCTACAGCACACTACAACAAGCAGTGCCCCAGAGCCTGTCCCTGCCCCAACACCATTTGCTGCTGACTCCCCTCCCATAATGTCAGAGTCCAAGGGAACAGGCAACATCGAGACTTGCCCTGCTCCTTTCCAGGCAACAGAACCAGAGCAGCAAACAGTGTTATTGCTGCAAGACGACCACTTTGGTCTAGCGTGGGGGCCTACAGCCTGGTAAGATTCCTGAGGACCTCATCACTTCTCCAGCCTTTCCTAGGGGGTCCCCACCAACACGCTCCCACCGCACAAAGCGAGGGCTGCCAGGCAAAGCAGGAGAGCAGGAGGGCCAGCCGGGGGCAGGCACCGCCGCCTACCTCGATGACGAGGGGCTCCGTGGTGGGACCCCTGGCGTGGAGGAGCTCTGGGGCCAGGTCACCCTCCGAGCCACGCTCGTAGTGCAGCACCGTGCTGGCCACCTGCAGCGCCCGGCTGAAGTCGATGGTCCAGTGCCCGTTCAGGTAGTACTCCCCTCGCACGTTCTTCACAGCTGGACAAGCACACGTGCCACAGAAGAAAAGGCAGTAACTTAACATAGCTATAACCTGGCTCTTGGCTCCACTCCAGATACCACAGGACAGAGCTTGCTCCAGGTATTAGCAACCCACAGAGCTCTCAGCTCTGCCATGTGAACCCCAGCTCCTTTCCATCAGTGCTGCAACCCTTTGTCCTGCAGCACCTTTTGTGTGTTGACAATCTCATACAGCAGTGTCTACCAACACAGCAAAGATTCACATGTTGAAAGAGGCCTCTAAGAACTCCACAGGGATGCTCCTCTTTCCACTCAACACTGTTGCAGGTGTGACAAGTACAAGTGACCATCATCCTCCAACAATGCTGTCCCCCTGGAAGGCTCTCTTGCCAGAAACTACTCCACGTTCAGACTGTAGTTCTCACCACCCTTCCTGCAGACCAAGCACTTTTTTGCTTCACAGTCAAAAGCCTCCAGCACATTCCAGCCCTGTCTCTGCACTCCCCACTGATAGCCACTGATGGAAGTGATTTCTGATGGAAGAGTCAGAAAGCAGAAGACTATTCTCTGCTGGAATTTACTCAGCTCTGCCCAGAAAGTTAGGTGAGGACATTTATTCCTCCTTTTTACCCTTTGCAGCATGATCAGAGTTTGAGGTTGTACCCAAAAGATATCTATGGGGAAAAGAAGCCCAGTGCAAACTTTTGGATGGCAGGAGTAGTAAGGGTTTACATTCACCAAGCAAACAGCAGAACTCCTAGCCAAATTTTGCTATATCAGCTAGACTCCTTCTAAGTTCCAGACAGGAAGTCTGAACATGGTTTGGGTATTTTTATTTCCCCCTCAACAGCAAGATCACCACAGGAGAAAAAATGATCTAAACATGAAGCCCAGAGTTGAGCATCACTAACACTTATATCACACTTAGATCCTGGTTTTCAGAGGTTTTTCCCTCTGCCATATCAATCCCTTGAAGTAAACATCCCAAAGTCCAATATACCTGAAACCCAAATTTTAATGCAATGGCTGGAATCCAAATGACTATAACACAAGTTCTGACATTAGTCTTACCCAGGAAGTTCCTGCTGGGCATAACCTCCTTAATTTGAATGCTTGTGGCTCCCACAGGGATGATGAATATTTGATTGTAACCTGGGGGGAGGGGGGGAAATAAGAGGATTATTCAGTAACTGTCTGTGGATGCCACAAAGTGACTCTTCTGTGCCAAAGATGCTCATGGTTTCATTAGTGCCTGAACAGATGGATGAGTTTTATGATGGTGGCTTGAAGCATTTCAGCTGACACTTTATCTGGATTCTGAATAGCTTCATCCTATGCAAGCCACAGGTCAGTCCATGTGCAAGAAGTTCCAGTTACACCTCAGAAAAGCAACCACCAGAGTCAGTGCAAAGTCCATTTTTTAGATTTTAAGATCTTGGAATTTCAGCAAGCATCATACTGGAGCTCAACACAGAGAGATTTGCCCACAAGTGTAGTTGTTATCTCGAGATTTTTCAAAACTGGCCAAATGCAGAAGATGTAGCCCCATTTCTAGTCCTGCATTAATGCTGGTGGGGCTATCAAGACACTGGACAGTGGGACAGTCTTATGAAGGAGGTATATGGTGATGTTCATATAGTACTGTACAACACCTGCTGGAGACTGAGAAGGGAAGGACACCAGCAGCATGGCAAGTACTTCACTACTTCACTCTGTACAGAGACTAAGGAAGCAGTTCCCAGGATCATGCCATCAATACATTTTCTGATGCTAAAGCAGCTAAAGAGCAACGTGTCTTAGGGACATTTGATGAATATCAAAGCCTGCCTACAAGTATCATGTGAGCAGAAGTCCCCACTGGCCCTTGTAGTAGCTTGACTTTACTCTCTCCTTCTCACCTGTCCAAACTACCCAGATCATCTGTACCTTTGGGGAGGCTGGGCACATCAAAAGTGCCCTTCACAAGATAGCAGGTGCTGCCATCTCCTCCACACTGCAGGCACTTGTCTTCCATCTTGGCAGATTCCAGCATGTTGTCACAGCCAACTGCCTGTCAGAGCACAGGAGCATCGATATGAATAAACCATAATGACAGAGCAAAGAAATCAAAAATGGCCAGATTCTGGAGTGATCTGATGAGAAAGCCTGAATTAGGGTGTCTGGGAAACCAGAACAGGGCAGGGAAGGAGTTGTCAGAGAAAGGACAGAGCTGGCATCTTCTATTTCACATTCAGAGGCCGGTAGATAAATGCTGTCCACGTGCTCCTCGGCACCTTGGAAACAAAACAGTTCTCCTTTTCTGAGGCTACTGTAAAAGGTCAAATAAAACGAAGTGAGGCACCAGACAGACTGACAGACCCTACGGTAAATGAAGGAAGCAACAAGATGACTAACCTGACAAACTCCCTCTACACAGATGTCCCGCTTGCCAGGTTCACAGGTAGTCCCATCTACCACTGCTTCCTTGTGCCTGTAGTAGAAGTTCTCTCCCTTGGGAATACAGTTCAACTCACACTTATTAGGCACTGGTAGGAGAGAAAACATGAACATTATGTAGCACAGCTAATAGCCTGATAATGCATCAGGAGCCTGGTTTTAGATCACGGGAGCAGAAACAGTGGGCAGACAGATTAAGTGGCAGATATTGAACAGATTCCTGGGTCACAAACTGCTGGGGGCTGGAAAAATACCCTTGTAAAATCTCATGATATATAACCATTTCCATGGGCATCTTGGCCAGCCAGTGGTGGAGAGGGGACCTTGGGCCAGGTAGATATTTGGTTATTCCTTAGTAGGACTGCTCAGAGTACAAGGCTTTCTAGAATGAGAACAAGTGCTGGTAGAGAACAGTTAATGAACAAACCTTTAAATTAACCTTGAAATCCGCTGTAATTTGTTAAACAATTGTGAATGATAAAATGTCAAAGCTCAGAGCAAGGACCTCTGATTCTTACAACTACCTTCTGAGGTGGTTCCTCAAGAAAGCCAATTAAAAGTGATGTCACATTTTCTGAAGCACTCATTAATTATATGCATTAGTTTCTCCCGTGCTCTGCTCATATTCTTTAGCCAATATTGAAAAATAGAGCAGAGCTTCAGCTTCTCTAATACTTTAGGACCTAGCTGCAGTTCCAGCTTTCTTGAACAGTGCTTCTGAGAGAATGGCTGTTAGGAGAGATGACTACGTGTTGCTGGAGTGGGAGCTGTCTCCTGGCCCGTGCATCCCGTGTCTTCATGAGAGCAATGCTTTGCTTCTGGAAAGAGATTTTTTTCCCATGTCACCCCCTGCACCCCCACTCCAACTAAGGAAGTACCCTATGAGGACACTGCAGTCAAAAACATTACAGCCACTTCAAAACCTGCTGCTGATAATTAGGGATCAAGTGCAACCCTACAGGGTTGTCATACCTCCATAATATGGGAGCCACTTGTATTTCTTCCCTTGGAATTCTGTCTCATCGAACTCTGCACATTGCTCTGCCCGGAAATCCCGGGAGCCATCTGGGCAGCTCTGTTGGGAGGAGAAAATCTTGTCATGGGCCATTATAAAATGGAGGAAAATTAAGTGTACAATAGAAAATTAGGTTTCTAGTTGTTATTGCTCCCATATAAAATCATGGCATAAATTTAATATGCTTTTGAAGGGGTGCTGTTGGTGAACTGCATTCACCAGTGATGCCAGAGGAAGAGAAACTAATAATGACAGATTACTTCTGACCAAGAATGAAGTTTGTCAGGGGAAAAGGAGCAACAGGCAAGCAAAATCAAAAAGCAGAGCACAAAGAGCACTGTACCTGAATGTTGCATGACCGATAACTTCGAGCTGGTCCAACACAACTGGAAGCACCTTCTGTCCTGAAAGACAGCAAACCAACACAAAGCTTTCTGAAGAATACACATGCAAAAAATCATCTTGTGGCAGACACACAGATCACCTTCACACAGTTTCCTGAGAGGGCAAAATAACTAATATAGTCTTCTCTTCCACTAAAGCAAGCAGGCATCTTCTAGTGCCAACTTCTGCTATGGTTTGTGCTGTGGCATGACTGGGACACACGCCATGACCAGATGCAGTATGACTCTTCAGGGTCATGTTTTTACTAAATAATGGAAGCAGAGCTCTCAGTCTTGTGTCCTCCAGCAAATAGTCAAGGTGTCCATACCACAACCAGAAATGGGTTCTGAGCAGTGGGAGGGTAATGGCCAAGTAGTAGGAAGGGCTAAACATGTCTATGGAAAGTGTCAGTCAAGTGACTCAGCTGAGAATTATGGAGAGTAACAGTTATGGAGGAAACTGATCTGAAAAGCCAACCAGTGTCTAATATCTCAGCATTCCTAAAATGGAGAGACAGGGGTTCTGCCATGTGTATACCATACGGGCAGCCTTCAAGAGAGACCTTTCGTTATCCTGGGTGAGAAGAAGCAGTGCTCTGTAACTCTGGATTCTTCTACTGAAAAAAAAAAAAAACCTGCTAATTTCTCTAAACATAAAATGTTGGGTTTTTTTCAGGATATTATTGACAGTCTGGCTTTTTTTTTTTTTTCCCCCCTCTTTTCCTTATTTTTATCCACAACAGCATCCCTAAGGTCCATCACTCCCAACAGGTGCAGTCCCAGTTATTGCCCTCACTGCATCTAACCCAGGTGCAAATGAGATGTCACAGCATTAATGCTGCTTGAGCCAACTCCACTCCTCTATTTCTTCTGGGGCAATTTACCTTCCTGGGAATCACAGGCCTGAGAAAAACTTGGCACAGTCACTGGATTTCAGGAGAGAAACTCCTGGACTGTTCTCCTTCTTCCCCCAGGGCTTGCCACGCTAGACTTGATGGAACAGCTCCTGCCATACTAATCACTTGACTGCAGAGCCTCAGATCTCACAGGGAAACTCACTGTGCTCTAGGAAAGGAGCCAAAGCAAGGATGTGTTGAAGAAAGCACTATTCAAAATGACAGTGATGAGACTGAAGCTGAGGATCACCTCAAAGTGGACTCGGGTGGCTTTTTCCCCGGAATCAAACACTAGGTCATTTTGTTCTGGATGTACATTGGAACATAAGTGCAGGAGCTCAGCAGCAGGAAAACACACTGAAAGAAAGAAAAAAGGAGGTGAGGCCTCACCTTTGGGAGTAGCAGCGCCGTTGCCGAAGGCTGACTCCACCACCACAGCTCCGGCTGCACTGGCCCCACTCACCCCAGCTCCCCCAGGCAGCAGTCTGCCGCTTCATCCGGGGGCCCTGGAAAACCCAGACATATCAACCAGATAGGGCAACACAGGGGAAAAACAATGAAGATGAAGCAGAGCTCCTGTGTGTTTTCCTTCCAAAGAAACTGTCTTGCTGGGCTCTATTCCTAGCAGGAAAAGTGGCAGAGAATAATACATCAGAAACGTCCAGCCTCTAATATCTAGGAGTATTAGCTTCCTGAAGCCATACAGCACATCCAGCTTTGTAATCTCCCTTAAACTGTTACTGTTTGTCTATTCATAGAATCTGAGCACTCCTGAATAACCATCTGAAAGAGGATAACACCTCCCTCTCAGCCAGGCAGCAAAGGCAAAACGTTACTTTGGGGACTATGAGTGCTGTCACTCCACACCAGATCAGTACAGCCACTTAATCCCAAATCCTTGGCTCCAAGACAGATACTTAAGAGAAATAAGTGAAGCAGTAAGGAAATCCCTGGAACATGCTTTTTGCTACAACAAAATTCTATTTATGGATCTTTTTTTCCACCCTATCCAACTGTGTCCAGTGATGAGGTCAAGGTATGGGCCATCATTAGCTGCAGCCTTAAACAACCTTGTGTTTAGAAAGTCTGAATGGATGCTGACATTAAGAGAAATAAGCACGATAATATACATAAAAAGTTTCAAGTACAAGGCAAGCAACCAAAAAACATTGTCTTAGAATTTTCAGGAAAAACGTGTCTGCTGCAGCTGATAGGGTCCATATAGAGCAGGACATGGGGGGTTAGCAGGAAGAATAGAAATATCTTGAGAAAAAAGAAAAAATACAAGAGGCAACAGGATTAATTCTACTTGGGAAAAGAAGGTAAGAGCAGGGAGCAAAGACTCTGTAAAAACAGGGTTTGCTGTGCAGCTGCACCTGAAGGGCAGTTTGCGTGTCTATTATACAACTGAAAAGGAAATGCATAGCATTTGGGCACCCAGACATTTGGGGTAGCAAAAAGTGGGCAGGCACAGAAACAAAAGGTAAAAAATGATTGAGGTGTACTCTGAGTCCCTTCCACACCCACAGTATCCCTGTGTCTGCCCCCAATCCATCTACTTTCACACAGCCCCTTTTGACTTGAACACAGCATCCCATGTTCCCATGCCCTACACTGCTCTGCTTGTGCTCTGTTTCCATTCCTTCTTCTTGGCATTCCAGCATCCTCCTGTAAGCCATTCCCTGACAATCACCCAGCTGGTAGATGCCACCATAAGGGTTTTCCAGTGGAGTGGAGGAACATCCTAGAAATGGAGAATTTTTCCATAGCAGGGATGTTAGCCCTACTCAGCCAGCACCTTCCACCCACCCAGATCACTTTCCAAGGCCTACAAAACTCCTCACCTGAAGAGCATAATTTTCACTTCAGTTAACTGGCAACGGCTTTTACATCCAGATGTCCAGGTCTCTCCTAGAAACAGGAGCTAGCCTAATAAATTATCCAGTGAACCCAACCCAGGCAAGATGCACGGGTTAATCCTCCCTTGTCGTTTAAGCAGTTCTTGTAATTTTCTACACTCGCTCCCTGCCTGACCGTATGTCCTGGAGTCACAGGCATCTTTCTCTTTCAGCCTCTTTTCAGGAGTAACTCCCTGCTGCTGGCAGAGCAACAGAGATACTAGCTGATCGTATTTATCCACTTACTACCAAATTACCCACAACTATCTAGCTGCAGAGTCACCCCAAATTCTTCCCCCCTATTACCTGTATTGCTGTAATGTGCAAACCTTCCTAGCCCATGCTATTCGATTTCCTTCACACAAGTTTTGTGCAATTCTTTTTAATACCTCTGCAAAACAAAATCCTTCAGGGCAAGTTTTCTGGTTCAGACTAACTCTGTTTGCCTTCACCCCGCTCACTCAATGGCACTACCCAGGTTACAGCCACTTCACATACCTTCTCTCTGCCAAGTCAACATCCCCCTGACCTCTTGCCAAACCCTTCTCCCATTCTTCCATTCCAGATATTGAGCTCAGTGTTTGTCTTCTGCATTCTCATTTGCCTTTCTGGGAGTAATCCCATCACTAGAGTTTTAGCTTTCAGCAAGGCATCTTATTTTCCCAAGTTTTTCTTTCAGGCACCTAATTCCTCCCCCTGTAATCCTCCTCCCTAACTCTCAAAAGAATGAAACATGCTGCCACTGTGTTTCTCTGCAATCTTATTCCTCTGTATCAACTGACTGATTTAGGAGCAGTATTAGCTCACCCTGGAAACAAGGGACCTTTCAGTCAGCATCAGAGAGAAGAAAACACGTAGATAAAAATCCAAAGGAAGAGCATTTGAAAGTCAGATTACTGAAAGGCAATTAGGACAGAAAGCCCTTCCCTGACACCCCCCCCAACCTGATAAATATTCCAATATCCCTCCTACAGGAGCAGCAGCCTTTATTCTTTCTGTAGAGAGTAAAGTCTGCAGGGACTCTTTGTTGTAAGGCTTGTGCATCTGCAGAGGGCAGGAATATCATCTTCTCAGTATCGCTCCATTTAGGTACACCCCAAAAGGAGCATCAGCCAGAGGAATCCTCCCAGAGCCATACAGTGTCTGAGAAACACTTCAACAGGGGCTCAGCTCCCACATTCAGAAATCTGGGCACAGCCCTCATTACTTCGGTAGCTGAATGCATGTGTATACAAGCAAATATAAAGCTGTGTAGTTACAATATTTAGAATAAAGAAGGTAAATATTTATAATAAGTAAGAAACCTATTATGACATAAACTGACGGGTTTAGATTCTGTCAGCTAGTTTCTGTTCCAAAAGTCTCTTTCTGTTCTCTTCAGCATCTGGAATGCTTTTATCTGTTGCCAATCAGTACAACTATATCACAGCCTTTCCTGGACCCCAGAATTAAAGTTTTCAAACTTCATGACTGTTACAAATTCATTTGGTTCCATTCCTCCCCCGCTTCAGCGTGACATGCACATGAGAACACAGTTCCTTCATCTACATTGAGCATATACTTTAATGTTTCAGAAAAAGCAAGAGAAAGTGTACAGCTTGACTACTAAAACCTCCAGAAAGGGCAGTCAGTTCACGTCCAACTGCTCTGTGTAGTTTCACTGCCTGTGGAGACAACAGAAATGCACATCTTCTGGGGATATTGGTGATGCACGTGACCCTGGCTCCACACGCTCTCTGTGCTCATTGGCACACAGGCTGCCGTGGGTCAGAAGAACTTTAGAAGGTCAGTGATTTCATTTTCATGAGCACTGCATTGCTTCCATCAGTTCCTAGACAGATGCATTGCTGATGCAGCCGCAGCATCTGCTGTTACCGGGCCAACCGTATCTGATAGAATCAGCAAGTACAAAAGCTAGGTCTCTGAGTCTCCAGAGCTCCACACCTCATCTTTAGAGACAATCCCAGTATGCATGGGACACAAACAAAAGAATTCTGGAAAAGAGTCCTAGATAGCATTATATATATATCACGTAATATTTATTTTTATACATGAAACATGCACTGGAAGAGGAGTGATGAGTGGGACTCAGAAAGACAGAAAATGTTGGCATCATGTAGAAACACTTTAAAAAGGGCCCTTGAAAGACTTCTCAGTCAGCCTGATGAGATGGATAGGAAACTGCTTGAGAAGAAGACCGTGCTTCCCAGAGGGATGCATTACAGGCATGCAGTGATGCACAGAGTTCATATAACCAAATGTGAGCTACTGATTTATCATGAATAATTTCCTAGTGCCTTGCTGCAACTCAAACAATAGCAAGCTATCAAAGCAAACATCAATTTACCATACAGTCCAAAGACTGCAGTGAAGGTCTGCAGTCACAGGTCCAAACAAACCCAGCCAGGCTCTTACCCTTACCCTTAGCCTTTCCCTGACCCCTTGGGCACCTTTGAGGGCCCAGAAGTCAATCTGAAGCATTCTGTGATTCTTTGTGCTGTCCTCCCAGACTGACAAGCAGCAACAAGACACCATGTTACACCATTCCAACAGTCACTGCTCAAAGCACACGGTGACTGACATCCATGCCATGCCTGAGAAGTTCTGGATGAGGCCACCACTTGCCCAGAAGGTCACATAGCTTTGGTCCATCGAGCTGCAACTGGATCACCTCTTTGGACACTGAGGAATTGTTACTGTGACTTCTTCAGCTGCAGCACACAGTTACTGGGCTCCATCCAGATCTGATACAAATCTCAGGGACAGCACTGAGAACATGGTGGCAAATTCTTGACACTGGAAGCTGACTACAATCGTTACCCACTGAAAACAGGTATTGGTGCCAACGATAAAGTAAGTCATGTGGTGTTACCTTCATTTTATGCTTAAAACCACAGCAAAAACCAGACTCTCTGTTTTTAACCTTTCTTACTATTTTTTAAATAACAGTACATGTTTTTATTTGATAAATATCTACTTTCTGGGCTTTATAGTTTCTGAAATAATTTGAATGTTTATTTTGACACACCCCTGAACTGTAGCCCCATTGATGAAACTTGTATGAAAGAAGAGAGAAAACCAAATGCTTTACAAAAGCATGTTATCACCACAGTCATTTATTCCATAATAGTTTCATTGCCAAAGCCTTGGCAAGCAAGAAGTCTCCAGTGAAAAATGCAGCTTTGCTAAGTTTGAATAATAATTGCTTAGAGAAAAGTTAATTGCTTAGAGAGAAGTTAATGAGGGAAGGGGAGGAAAAAAAGAAAGGCTTCAAGGTGCCCTGCGGGCTGGCTGCTCCCAGTGGGCAGGGGGCCAGTAGCAGGGAGGGAGCTCTCCCGGGCTGGCAGGGCAAGCCAGGAGCAGCACAAGCCAGGGCACAGCCCCAGCCCTGGGACTGGGCACCTCCAGCCAAAGCTGGGCTGGCATGTGGGGCTACAGCCAGGCAGGGCAGCGAGAAGCTTTGCTGCAGCATCCCCGGGGCAGGAGCCAACAGCCCCCAGGGGGCCACAGGGGTGTGGGCAGTGTGGGGGGAGCCTGGTCAGGGCCAGTAAAGCCTAGCAGGGCCCTGCCAAAAACCACCCACATGGAGTGTACCAGCATGTGAACCA